AAAACCTGGTGGTTCCAAAACCCAATTGGAATTTCGACGCGAAATCGTTCAAACCTATTTGAAGAGATCCCACCAGAAGTTCCAGGAAGGGCGTCGATATCTAAGGGTTCCACCACCAAGACGGTGTTGGATTTGACAGAGTGGATCGTTTGGTGGCTTAAACGCCATACAACAAAAAGAAGTGTTGCACTGGTGCTGTCGGATTATGTATAAGTTGTTCTTCACCATTTCACACAAAATGAACATAAATATAGCTACTAAAACAGATCCTCTATTTTTTGTGGTATATAATAGCTGCTTTTTGGGCAATCTGGCTTAATAAAAAAAATTCACTTTTTATAGTAGGCAATCTATTTTTGGCATACATTCCTTAAAACTTACTTAGAAATTCTTGATAGATTCTTTGATAGTCTTCTATATTTTGAATCATCGCGACTAAAGAGTCTCTATAGATTATAAAGTGAATAAATTGTTCCATATTGAACCTGTGATGTAGGCTCGGATGTAGGTATAGAGGTAAGTGTGGAGTAACAGTAATACTCAAGTAAAATAAGCTGATATTTAATTTTTTTTTAAATTTAAATTAATAAATATCAGCCTGTTTTACTTGAATACTACTGTTACTCCACACTTACCTCTCCCTAAATTGTTCAGATATTAAGAAAAGAATATAATAACAAAATTTAGATATTTATAATGTTTATTAAGAATTCTTCAAAGTTTCGGAACTTTGTCGGAGATATTCAGGGATCTTCCTCGGGATTTTTCAGATTATCCCAGGATTCGTAATAAATTCTTCTAAAGATCTTTAAAGCTCTTTCCATTTGCTTGACAGATTCCTTAGAAAATTCTTTAACCACTATTTCGAGGGGAAAACCACCGGAGCAAACTCCGTAGATCAACATTAAACACGAGATTAAACATTAACTGCATTATATAAATATAAATTTTGTAGCTGGATATGTTTGAACGTGAAAATAACGAAACCAAGCTCCTTTCTGAAAAGCAGCATCCATGTCAACACTCAAAAGACTAAGTGCGCGCATACGTACCAATATAGATTTGTTAGCAGTTGGTACTTACTCAAACCCCAAGATTACTATAACCAGAGAAAACAATCAAATTCGATGCTGTATGTATCTAGTGCTCTACGATCTACTACCCCGATACTACCCTATTCGGTTTGCAACCTCACCCGCCATATTAAAATTTTTTAATTTATACACCAATTTCTTTGGGAAACAGGTTAAAAGTATAATTGCGACAGTATTTAACTGCGTTGGTGTTCCGAATTTCTACATGTTCTCCGAAACTAAAGTTTGTTGTCTCGATTTTCAACACCTAAAAATTGAATCTTAATAGGAATTAGGGAGTTACGGTCAAAAACTGAATACTCACTCAATATCTGGTGACAGCGACTTTTAAAATCTGCTAATGTTGGAGCAATTAAAAATGGAATTCTTCACGTACGCTATGTGAATAATTCATACCTACGTGTTTACGTTACCTCAGTCTTTTGATAAACAAAACTTACTATTACAGTCTGATGTATGATAAATACCTCGATAAATACGGAGATATAATATACGATCCAAATTCACATGTCTGTGAAGAAGAATGAACCCTGAAAATGTGATCCTGCACTCAATGAAAATTTCAAGCTTGGTAATAATTTTGACCAAGATAAAAATCGTCGATAGGCAAAAAGTAGATAACATAGTATTCCGGTTGTGGTCAATGTGTCAAAAATGTTTTGCTCGATTTTGTTTATATTTTATCTCGTATTTTATTATACAGTGTGTAAACCAAACTAGGCTTACCGATGGTAATTTGGGTAAAATTATAATTATATTGTTACAACTACTTTAGTCTTATTGCATGCGGCTAACCCGAGAACCATAGTTTGCAATGTTTTGCCGGATGCATTTGCATTTTTTGACAAAAAAATTTAGTTCCCAATCCAAACTGGGTTTAAAGTGATTCGAAATCGGAGAAAATTATTATAACAGCTGAATTTTTCCGCGGGCGACTATAGACATTCCAATTTCACACGTTTTCCCGAAGGAATATTTTTTTGAATGAAACTGTTGATGACTAAGCCTACGCATCTACGCGTATAAATGTTTTCCTCAATATTTTCAAAAATTAATACTTTCCATACCTTTTCCATTAGCAGAATTTGGCCGCATTTCACCCACCAAGCACAATGAAATTCACTATCGATGCACTCTGAAAGACGGTACCGATCTAACTGATAACAAATAAATACAAAATTGCGCGTTATCATCTGAAACAGGTTTCTTTTATTCAATACATTCAAAGTCGTTTACACACATTTATTGATAGGTGAAGATTGTTTAAACAAGTAATTACACAACGGCTCTTGTTAAACTGCTCTAATTTTGAAAACAAATTTTAGAGGTATGTACACGAGTACCGATTCCCCTGCGTTTCCAAAACTAAAAAATTCGTTAAGCCGCTTGTGAGCAAGAGGCGATGAGTGCACTTTATAATTTGTTTTTTCGATTTTAATAGCCCTTATGGACATTTCATGCCTCAACCAGAATACAAACATGAAATAATTCTCGAGCTCACACAGACAGACATAAGGAACGCAAAAGTGCACTTTTTATTTTTTGAAAGTGCGCTAAAAAGAAAAACACAAAATGGGTTGTAGTAACCAAAGAAAGTGGTTTGTTTGTCTCGAGGTTTGTCTTCTGGTTTAATGTTGATGTGCTCTCGGATGTGCTTTACGATTTTGTAAACCTTTTTTGTGTGTAAAACCCGAGGTAAAATCAGAAGCGACTTTATCAAAAACATGAAAAACGTCCGACCATTCGCACCTCGATTCGCACGTTAACTCAAAAACCGAGTCAAAAACGCTTTAAGCTTCAAGTTGGCACACATGACTTAAGGAGTGCTTCGGAGGTCAACCCCTTGGAGTCGGGCCAGCAATGAGAAAGAGAAAGATTCTATTTCCACAGCTAATCCGTAACAAAAAGCGGAAAGTTTAGCGCTAAGTTTAGCGCTATTTACGTATTTTTCCGATATTACGAATAACGATCAGACAGGTCCTTCTTGAAACTGCACCTGTCCGTGCGACAACTGGTAGGTGGTTTTTTTTCAAAATCGCTCAGACACTACTAAGCATTGCTGGAATTCTATTGCCAGACATTTTCCAAAAAAATAATAAATCGACAAATTACTTTTCCCCAACAAATTAGCCACAAATTAATGGAGCATAATGATTTCCAAATTATCACTTGGTGGTGGTGTAAACTTTTCCGATATTACACTAGGTAAGGGAAAAGTCGCGTTTGGTATGCGATTCATTTAATCTTTTTCGCTCTGCCTATTGATTTATTTAGGCCGTACTTGGTTTATGTAAACGTTATCGTCCGCATAATCCGATGGATTTTCATAAAAAACGTACGGTACTTAATGATCGGGTGTTTTATAGTTTGGTAAAAAGTTGTACCATCCAAGTAAAGTTACACGAGTGTTATTCGCGTTTTTCTGGTTGCACCACCTTGTACAATACAAATCGTAAATTTCGCTGATCGTGATTGTATAAAAGGAGAACCAATGAGCTGCATTAATTTGGAGTTCACAAGTTTGGAGTGAAAGAATGCCGTATCCGCAAATGACGTATTTCGACAGTTTTCGTTCTCTGAACTTCGTTTCCCTAAACTGTGGAAGTAGGTCAGAATTGTGGGAATGTTGCGGTTGTGATAGGAATACGTAATATTGATTGGAAAAAATGCGGACTGTCAAGTTCACCACGATCGTTACTTTTCTTTTAAACGGCAATTAGTTCAAGGTTAATTAGAATGTCTATGGCAATAAATGGGTAGGATTAGGATATGCATATTTGCCACTTGGCCGTTAGTTAACGTGTTCTTAGGTAATAGAAGAAATAAAAGAAAAACCGAAACATGTAAAGGAAAATTTCGAGGAAAATTCCCACTCGATACATTTTCCACATATCAAGTATCATTAGGTATGCACGAGGGTATGCATAACATTTTTTTTGATAACACGATGTGTACAAAATTCATGGTTCCTGAATGTTAGCATTTTCCGTGAGGTCAACACAGATACCACTTGTCAAAATTGTATGACACACATTACCTATACCTCGACCTATACCCTGTTTCCGTTTACGAAGGGTCGATAACAACTTTTAAATCTAAAGAGTTTGCAATTTACAGCTTCCATGCAAGGTCGGTATTTATGAAAAGCCAGTATCGAGGGGTGTACACTGTACACTAAGACTACAATGACTCAAAATGTGTTAGAAAGTTGCCAGAATGACTACACGTTTTCCCGGGAATTTTCCACAATTTCTATTCAATCCGATTTGAAAGGTTGATCACGGGGAAATTCTTGATCCTCATATAGAAAATTTCCACGAAATAAGTATGTAGGAAATGGACAAACTTAGAGGGAGTTCTAAGGAAATATTAGGAAAGTTTGGGGAAAAGGGAGGAGATTTCAAAGAAATGAGGAAATTCTCAGGAAATATTAAGAAAATAAGAGGAAATCTAGAGGAAATTGCGAGGAACATTCTGATGGAATACAAAGGAAATTTTAAGGAAATAAAAGGTTTCTATAAGGAAATAACCTCGGAAATAACGTTACTCATTTCACGTTAATTCCAATTTTGGGGAAATAGGAGGAAATTTCCAAGGAATGCGGAATTCTAGGGAAATATTAGGACATTTTGAGGAAATAAGAGGAAGCTCCGAGGAAATTTTAAGGAAATTCTGAGGAAATCTAGAGGAAGTTTTAAGGAAACAAATGGCTTCCTATAGAGGGAAATAACGCTACTCATTTCACGTGAATTCTGAGAAATTTTGTGAAAATTTGAGGAAATTAAGGGGGTGGCAATTTTT